TCCAACTTGCCTCAACACACCTGACTGGAAGTTTCTATGCCTAGTAAGAGCTTGATTAGCTGGTTCAGGTGTGTTTAATTAGGGTTGGAGCTAAACTCTGCAGGACACCGGCCCTCCAGGACCGAGTTTGGACAGCCCTGTATTAGATGAAAAACTTAAACTTAAAAAAAAATAAAAATAGATATGTAGCCTTGGCAACTAACTGAAATAAAATAAGTTTAAAATGAGGTACTGAAATTACCAAAGCTAAAACTGAAATAAAAATAAAGCTAAATAGAAATCTTTCAAAAAATAAAATAAAATAAAATAAAAATCTAATAGATCAACAACAGAATGTAACAAAATTACAATAATTAAAGTATTTTCCTGTGTTGTCTCCAGTGTTGTATTTTTGTTAACTGAAGTAAAATAAAATATAAATATTAGACTGTTTTGGTTAATTGCAAAGCTGAAATAAAATAAAATAAGATAAAATATAAATATTAGATTTAAAAAAATTATATATAAAAAAAAGTGATTTTAAGATGAAGTACTAAAATTACCAAAACTAAAACTGAAATAAAAATAAAGCTAAATAGAAAAGAAAACAAATCTAATAAAAGCAACAGAAGCACATAAAATTACTAAAATTAAAATGAAAACGGACAATGAAAAAGTTAATTCAGAATATTAATAATTATCATAATAGTACAAAATAATACTAAAATAGCAGATGTATTTATTCCTTTCACACTGATCCCATCACCCTCTTCCCCAAAGGCTTTTAGACACCAATGCTTTCATTTTATATGCACCAAGCCCTCTGTCCAGGATTACCAAGGTACAAATCTAGATCCGATTGATGGATCTGTGAGTGACAAATTATTCTGTAAAATGTTATGGGGCTTTTTTCTACCCATGATACCTGTGATAGGGTTGTGGCAGTAATAGGCATCATCTCCACCCAAAGGGGAAAAGTGTATTTTGGGGGAAGGGATGAGATAAGAGGCAAATGAATTGAATCATGAGGGCAGCGCCTTTACATGTTAGGGAAGGGAAGATGCAGCAACATGCAACGTGAGATTATTACTTCCTGTTATAACAGGAAAAATGGGATGCTGGGGAATGGCATGCACTTCAATGTTTAGTCAATGCTCTACTTCTGCGAAATGTGAGGTCAGGGACGTGTAATACTCAGGACGTTGGGATGATCCATCTCAGTGGCGTTGATGGTGCTGCAGGTCAATGGAAAGGGACAAGAGCACTTTTGCTCAAATAATCAGGACATTAGCGTTCATTTCAAAAGCACGGGGTAAGGCCAAAGGTATTCAGATTGTGGACATAATACGCTCTCCAAAGGTGAGTGCGGAAGCTTTGGTTAAGGGCCATATAGCAGAGTCATTGTATTTGGGAATCAATCCCAGCTTCAGGGCGGATAAATGGCTTGACCTTCATTTTCTTGAGGCCTTTCGCTATACGCTGGGTTTTACAGTGAGTGTAGGCTGAAACACAGCAATAGGTTCAGATGAAGAGGGAATGGCAGGAAAAAGAGGCAAGTGACTAGAATAATGCCACGCCACAGCGGCCTCAGAACCTTCTTCTCAATCATCTGCTTTTCTCTTCCTCTTTCCTCCTTGTTTTCCGAGACACCGTCCATTAGTTCTAAGTAGAGCGCTGGGGCATTTTTCATCTTTCAAGGTGCGTGGCATGACACCGTTCTCCCCTTAGCCGTAGTATTAGATCACTACTGGCATCTCCTGCATGCCACGGTCATTCCCATTTCTCACGCACTCCGACTGCGCCGCTGTGCATTTGGGACACCATTTGTGAAGCTGTCTGCCACTAGAGATAAGACAGCCGTATTTGTTATCCTGGATGCGAATCAAACTGTATGTTTAATGATCATTGGGTTCTCATGTTCGGGAAGTTGCTCCTGAGTGTTTAATTATTAAACTAGGTGGTTCAAGACAGTGGAGAGGTATATTACAGCAGAGGTTGAAACGGAGGGCTAGGAGACTGATTTGTTGGGTTTTAAATGATGACCTCTGCATTTTAGAGTAAAATATATAATGTTGTATAATACTGACACAGTGACAAAATCTTTTAAAAGTTTTAGTTTCAAACACATATGCCAAGTTTTTTTTAGAGATGTGCTCATGTTGGTTTCATATTGAACAACATCTATACCTAAAACGTTTACATTTAAAAATGTTCTTTACATCTTGAATTCATGTATTTCATCAAAATAAAACCAAAATTATTTTTACAAATATAATAAATTATTTGTTTATAAATATCATGTTTTTTTTTTTATTATTTACAATATCTTGACAGCTTTATCACCCTGACATTTTTGACTCAAAATATCAAAATGAATTTTAATCCAGAATTTAAAAAACCTGCTCATCATACAGTAGAAGATGTGTATTTAAGTCATTGTATGTATGAGTTGCAGTTTAATGCATTTTAAAACCTAATAATAAGTATTTTTGGTATTATCAAACAATGTCCAAGCTCTATGGAAGCCCATGTCTGCCACATATATAAAACATGCTTTGGTAAATCATAATTATGACATAAAACAATTATGAGACACTACGTCAACATAATGCAATAAAAATTATTGAAATAGTCAATTATGAGATAAAAAGTAAAGATTCTGGCATAAAAAGTCTAAATTATGAGACAAGAATACAAACATTAGATAAAAGTCTAAATTTATAAAAAGAAAATTGAAATAATCTAAACTGACAAAATGTCATAATTATGAGATAAATTGAGATTATGACATACTAAATCATAATTATGCATTGTGCATCATAATAAATGCATTTAATTCTGACATAAAGAGTTTAAATTATGAGATAATAATGCATAATTAAGTCAAAATTGACAAGTAAATTATGAGATAAGAATTATGAGAAGTCTAAAATGACAAAAAAAAAATATTTTGAGTTAAGTCAAGATTGACGCACGAAATCATAATAATGAGATAAGATGAGTCAAAATTATGAGATAAAAAGTCGTAATTATGACAGAAAGTTGAAATTTACATTAATACAATAATGAGATAAAAAGTTGACATTCTGACATAAAATCGAGATTATGAGATAATGCATAATCATGACGTGTTGAAATTGACACAAGTCATAATTTTTTATCTCATAATTAAATTACCAAAGCAAGTTTTGTCATGCATGTGGCAGGAACAGGCTTCCATACAAAGCAGCTCTTGCAAAACGAGTAACACACAGTAGCACCTTTTAAAATGAGGCCAGCATCCCTGATTTCCACAGATGTTCAAATGTGCCATTTTCTTCCTCCAGATTCCCATTCTGACGACTTTGATCCAGCCTCCACTAAAAGCAAGTACGACTCCATGGATTTTGACAGCTTGTTGCGAGAGGCCCAGTATAGCCTGAGAAGGTAATGAGCTGCACCGCTGCACCGGCTGGCTGCAAAGAGAGGGATTCGCAATACCTCACTGTTGTTTCTGTTCTTTTGAATACAAGACGTTTTACACTTTATCTAAGTGAAAAGAGTATATGTGGATGAAAAAAGCTCTACGTTTATGAAGGGATATATATGTATATCTGCAAGCAAAGTTTACATGAACCTAGCTGCTGCAACGCTGGGGAGAGACATTACCTGTGGGAATAGCCAGTGAAGTAGCGGACACTACTTTAGTGGACTACACAGATCCGTGTACCGCGTGAGGCTCTGGAAGAGACACGAATCTTCGTCAGAGTTCGCTCCACATGCCGCATCACCCTCGGCACTTTTGAGAGGTGAAAAGCGCAGCTCGTTCAGTCTGTTTTTATTGTTTGGAGTTTATTTTTGTGGGCTTTTTCTGTTCCTTTTTTAATCTGGTGTTTGGATGTGGTGTTACACTGTTGAGAAGGGTTTGGTTTGGGGAAAATCTCTCAAAAGGTGACGTTGTCTACATTTATCGCCTATATACAAAACGAATATTTTTATTTGATGTGCATATCAGCGTTCTTTGTTTGTTACAGCAATGCACTGTAAAATGCAGCCTTTTTAAGATGAACTTTTCTTAATCGAGAATGTTGATCTGTAGTCATTACGATGATGTATAACATACATGGCGTTTAGATGACGTGATTTGATTGTAAAAATACGTATGGAGATTTATCACTCTTTTTTTGGGGTAGCATGCAACAATTTTTGTCTCTGTTTTTCTTTTGGTTTTCTTTTTTTCATTTCAAAACTCCCTGTGAAGTTTCATCTGATTTTGAAGTTAATAACTCAGTGTTTTCCGTACATACATGCAGTGTGTAAGATATCGTTTATGTTCATTATTGTGTAAAAAAAAAAAAAAAAAAGATAAGCCCCAAGATATTTTTTTATCCTTTATGTCTTGAAGGAATCAAGAGGTTTTATTTAATTTCTCTGTGCACACGAATCATTGTTATTGTTCCTGTTTGATAATACACTTTCACAAAGAGATAATTACTCTTTTAACACAGAATTATTCGTGCTTATTTATGTATTTATCTCAGTATCTAATCTAAATATTTATGGCAGCCATCTCACGTGATGCGCCTTACAAATTTTGCTATTTATATTATTTGTTATTCAACAATCACTGGAAAAGATGCAAATTTAAAAGTTCTAAGAAATATCGTTTTTATATATGCCTTCAGAGATAGAACAAAAAACATATTGTATAGGCTCATGATGAATTTTGCTGCTCCAAACTTGTTTTTCTAGCTCTAAAACACTTCCGTCCCCCTTTTTCATCTCTTTTTTTATTACATGAAGCAATAAAATAATTTTGCAGGTATTTTGTTGTACCACAGAAAATCTGTCTTTGCTCCACACTGTTGATTATGTGAATGCCAAACTAAAGTTTACAATTTTCTTTCATGATTTTTTTTTTAAGATTAAAAAAAAAAAGATGTATTTGATGTAAAAAATAATATATATGATGATGCTAATCTTGTCATTACTCACAATAACTCAAAAATAATGAAAAGTAATAATGGAATATGAAAATGTGAATTAAAAAAATGCTAATAATAATAAAGCAATAAATTATTTTTCAAAGCTGTATTTTAGCTCATGTTGTTGTGTGGTTTTAGACATGACATATTACCCAGACTCTGTTTATTCCAGTGCCTAAGACCAGTGTTGGGGGTAACGCATTACAAGTAACGCGAGTTACGTAATCAGATTACTTTTTTCAAGTAACTAGTAAAGTAACACTTCAAGTTACTTTTTCAAATAAGTAACACCAGTTACTTTTTTTTCCCATTTATTGATTGAAAGCTCTCCTGTGCCCATGTTGAGAGAAATCGGGAGTAAGATGTTACTTTAGTTCTAGAATAAATGTGAACATGCATTAATTCATCTCACTCACTCACAAAAAAAAATCTGATTTAGTTTTCCTCAAAATTAATAAAAACAATTAAACGCAACTCAGAATATGACTCAAAGCTGCAATAAATAAATATGTTAAATAATACGAATATCTTTTATGTATTTAATCCCATTTTATTAACCAATTTGCTGCTGACCTTCAGTGATCCAATTCAACCATACTAATAAGAAAAAATGACACAAGATAAATTAACATTTCTTCTTCTTTTTTTATTGCTGAAGAGTGTTGAACTTTCTTCTTCTGTGTTCTACTGTACAGACGTGAATTTACATTTCCTTCAGCCTGAGGCTTTTAGTGTGAAAGGGCTTTTATATTTGCCAAAAATATAACTTTTTATATTAAAAGCAAACAAGCAAGCCCAGCCCAGATTGAAAAAGTAACGTAAAAGTAACGTAACGCATTACTTTCAATAAAAAGTAACTAAGTAACATAATTAGTTACTTTTTTAGGAAGTAACGCAATATTGTAATGCATTACTTTTAAAAGTAACTTTCCCCAACACTGCCTAAGACCACCGCTGGAAAGAGAAATTGGTTGTGAATGCAGCTCATGTGTGTGAGAGAGAGTGAAAGAAGTGAGAATTTAAAACAAGCAATGACTTAAAGGGTTAAAAAGCCAAAAAATTGCGTCTATGAGATCAAGTCTCTTTCCAAAGCGAGAGCTATTTTTGTCTTTGCTGTGGTCTGAAGGTACCTCAGAGGAACTGTAAATTATTCAAAACGGCCACAACAGGCCCTTGTCAGTGACACTTAGAGTAACCTTTCTTTGTCAGTTAGCGGCAGGTTTTGTTGTTGTGCAGATTTGTTTTTGAATGAGAAACCCATATTAGAAGAATCACAGTGTAAATGTCCGGTTTGAGGCACTGAAAGAGCATTATTTTCTGCATAGAGACTGGGTACGGCATCATGTCGCATTCGATATGTGTGGCTTAATCATTGCAACGTGTCTGTTGCAAATATGCTTTGTAAATTGCTGTAGACCTGATGGGGTGTATCTTTTGGAGTGGGAGACTTTTTACCATAGTAAAAACTACTGAAGGATTTGCCACCACTTTGGACGATTTTTTTTTGTTTTGTGTGTGTGTGTGTGTGTGTGTGTGTGTGTTTCCAAGAAGAAGCAGATCTATCTTAATGAGGATGTGTGTGTGTGTGTGTGTGTGTACTGGGGGTCAAGGGGACTGTGTTTGGCTGTTATCTTCTATTTGTCTCCTATCCATGTTGCCTTCTGCTGAGTCCTAACCAATGCCTTTGTAGTTGTACATATTGTACAATCTTTGTTGTGAATTTTCTTTCTTATGTGTAGTTTTCATCAGCCTTACCATGCCAATAAAGGGAATTGTGTCTAATTTATTCTTTCCCTCCTTTTTCTTGTGCATCCAAACTGAATGCAATTAGAAGTAGGGTTGCAAAGGGGTGGAACATTTCCAAAAATCCCTGGAATATTCCAAAACAAATTCCAGGAAAGTTAAAAAAAAATTCTGGAATATTTCCGAAATTTACTGGAAATTTTCCACCTTTTTGCAACCCAAAAAGAAGTAGTCGCTCAAATGAGTGTTTCAGCTACGTTATGATTTCAATGAAGTCTCTTCTGCTCACCAATGCTGCATTTATGTGCTAAAAAATACAGTAAAAACTCTAATATTGTGAAATATTATTACAATTTAAAATATCTGTTTTCTATTGTAATATATTGTAAACTGTAATTTATTCATGTGATGCAAAGCTGAATTTTCCTCAGCGTCGATACTCCAGTCTTCAGTGTCACATGATCTTCAGAAATCATTCTAATATGCTGATTTGCTGCTCAAGAAACATTTCTGATTATTATCAATGTTGAAAACATTTGAGCTGCTTCATATTCATGCAGAAGTCATGATAGTCTACCATTCCAATATCTGGGATATGTGAGTATCTGTGTGTTTTTAATAGAACCGAATGCTTTTATTCTGTAAATATGCATTGAATTGATCAAAAGTGACAGTAAAAAAACATTTACAATGTTACAAAAGTGTCTATTTCAGATAAACACTGTTCTTTTGAACTTTCTATTCATCAAAAGATCTTGAAAAAAAAAATATCCACAAAATATTAAGCGGCAAAAATTGTTTTTAACATTGATAATAATCAGAAATGTTTCTTGAGCAGCAAATCAGCATATTAGAATGATTTCTGAAGATCATGTGACACTGAAGACTGGAGTAATGATGCTGAAAATTCAGCTTTGAGCACAGAAATAAATGACATTTTACAATATATTTAAATAGAAAATGGTTCTGTTAAATTGTAAAAACATTTCACAGTTTTTACTGTATTTTTAATTAAATAAATGCAGGCCTAGTGAGCATAAGAGACTTCATTAAACATTTAAAAATCATAATGTCTCCAGAATTTTCTGCATTGTGGCGTAAAGCACGCATGCGAACATCATGCGAGCCCTGCTGTTTTGTGCGGATCATCACAGCACATTGTTTTGGATGACTCACTTGCAGACTCAGTTATTTTTGGCAGATGCTCGTGTTTTCGCCGGCTCCGCACGAACCTGGAAAATGAGTGATGATAATCCCGTGGAGCTTGTTTCTTAATTCCCATAAACTCTTCTGACGGGTTTTGCATGCGCATTTGTGCCTGTAAAGGGGCCCCAAGAGTTTGAAGGCACATCTGTCCAGCTGAAATGTAATACTGTATCATTACTATTCAGCCTGTGAAATGGTAGAGGAGGTGAATAACCTCTTCTCTCCTGCGAGAGGTGTGGCAGGATTGGACATTCGATTTTAAAAGAAGAGGATCCAATTGTGGATATTATTTATTTATTTATCTTTTTCATTAATGCTTGGGTTTAGCCTCGGAGAAAAGAGGCACTTCTTTCATTTTGCCATCACAATCGCGCAGGCAGGAGGTCTCTCGGCGTCTGCCCTTTTCCGGACAATGTAGCTGGAAGCTCAAGAGCTTCACTTCTGTCGTTTTGTGTGATGCAGGTACTTACTCCGGCAATCTGTGCTTATCTTTCATTTCACATGCACAGCCACTGGTGAAAATGCCCATGTCTGCAGTTTTTGAGCATCTATTTCTACCTGCGATCCTAAATATATATATATATATATATATATATATATATAAGACTGTACTTGAAATATGGTGTATTTAATTATACACTAACAGTCAAATGTCTGACAAATTCAAATTCACTTGAACCTGAAAAGACTCAAATGTCTTGTATTGCAGTATAAAAAATGTGTAATTATATTAAATTATATATACAATATATACACATTCTATTGATTTGCTGTTCAAGAAATATTTATTATTATCAATGTTGAAAAATAATTATTTTGTGGATTCTTTGACTAGAAAGTCAGTTTTATTTTAGTATTATTTATGTGTTTTTATAGTTTGTTCATTTTTTATTAAAATTATGAATTAGCTTTTATTTTCTTAGTTTTTAAGTTTTAGTACGTTTATATGCTTTTGTCATTTTTATAGTGTATATTTCTATATAGTTTATATTTCATATCTTTATTTTTATTTCAGTTTTAAGCCACGTTCACACCAAGCACGATAACTATAAAGATAACGATAAAGATATAGTTCTAAAAATCGTTCTCAATATTAAAGAATAGCATAGTTCACACCACAACTATAACGATAACGATACAGAGGAACGATATCGTTGTGATCACTTTCAAAACGATTTTTTTCCAGCTGATGAACGATAAAACACTGACAGCCAATCAGAATCCATCCTGCTGTAACGAGCTCAAGAATTTAAAGCGGCAGACGCATGTGCGCTTAGAATAAACAGACGATATCGTTCGCTGGTGTGGACGCTAATATCGTTATCTTTATAGTTATCTTTATAGTTATCATTCTTGGTGTGAACGGGGCTTTAGTCTAGTAATTGTAGTACTTCAGTACTTTAGTGATTTTAGTGCTTCAGCTTATTTTATTTCAGACAGTTCCCAAGGCAAGTTTTTCATCTAATATGAAAAACAGTATGAAAAATATGTAATAATATAGGAATATTTTAACAACTTATATATACAAATATTGTGACATGATTCTTCAGAAATCATTGTAATGATTTGTAGTTTAAGAAACATTTCTTATTATGATCAATGTTGGATTTTGTGGATTCTTTGATGACTAAAAAGTCAGTTTTATTTTAATATTATTTATATGCTTTTATAGTTTATTCATTATTTATTAATATTTTGAATTTTATTTTTAAGTTTTAGTCATTTTATATTTTATATTTTTATATATTTTACATTTTATACAATTTTTATTTTATATATATTTTCAGCTTAATTTTTATTTCAGTTTTAGTCATTTTAGTACTTTGGGTTATTTTATTTCAGTTAGTTTCCGATGCATATTTTCCAGCTTTTTATTTTATTTTATTTTATTTTATTTTATTTGTGTTATTTTGTGTTATTTTATTTTAGCTTAATTCTAATTATTGAAATTATTTTATTAATAATAAAATTATTATTTAATTTTGATGTTATTTAACAACAACACTGTAGAAATTTCAGAAGAACAGTAGTTATTTTAAATTATTTAACATTATTATTATTATTATTGTTGTTGTTATTTAATTTTTATATGTTAAAAAAAAATGATTGTC